TTGAGGGGGGGGGGGGGGGGGGGGGGGGGTCTTAGAAAAAATCCCTTCCATGGGGGAGGTATGGGTATTTTCCGGAACCACACGTCCTACTGCCAGTTTAATGTAGAGAATTTACATATGTTTAGCTGTTTTTTTTGGATTTAAAAATTATTTGTCCGTTAATTAAGGACATCCCTTGGGAATTGGGGTCACTAAAACAATTCAGGCTAGCTGTCCTGAAAGTTCCCTACTGTATGCGTGGCGAAAGGTTTGTCAGAGGTCTCATAATTTCTACCTAATGATTAATGCCCCATACAATATCAATATTTAGTAGCAATTAGACAGGTTATGTAGGAAATTCACCAAGCTGATTGGCTCTGTCACTTTTGACTTTTCACAAGTGGCAACTCTGCCAAGTTAGGCATGGTGTCTTAGTTCACAATTTAAAATAGTGGCTTCCCTTCCTGTTTGAATAATGTATAATTTATAATTTGTCTATTTTTTGTATTGTTGTAGCTGAAAAGTTTCAGCCAGAAAAAGTAGACATCTGCTGTTTATTTTTATGATTGCTTTTTAAAACTTTATTCACTACCAAGAACATTAATTTGCTCATAGTCTTGGGTTATGACAAGCAAGTGTAAAAGAAAAAAATTTGAACATGTTCATACATGTACCTTTTTTAACAAGCCGGTAAACACTTATTTCTTTTAATTTTTCTTGACACAAAAATTTACCAGTTATCGGTACTGTAGTTTTATTGGCTGCCAAATTCTACAAAGATTACTCTTCAAATGCTGTGCTTGATCATGACTTTCTAGTTTAAATATGTATAAATTACTGTATATATAGCATAAATAAGTCTATGACTTAATTTGTATTATTTGCAAACATGGAAGTAATCATGGCTCTGACCAGTAATACACTTGCTCAGGCAGGCAAGGCTGTTTTGAATTTATTCTGGCTCTTCAAATGTCCATTCAAAACATTCCCTTCAGTCCGATAACAATCTTAGAGGTGTACAATCTAATTTCCATATTCTGAGTATACACGTCACAGCTTCTTAGTTTTTGTGTTACCAGTTAAGTAAATTGATACATTATTAACTTGTACATGTATGTGGATAACATTGTATACCATCCTTTGGAGTGTTACCTAGAGGGTCTAAAGTAGCTTTTGATTAACTAGTGGATTATACAAGTTGTAAGTGACAAAGGTGTTGATACTCGTGCGAAAAAATGAGTTGTTTTAATTCAATTAGCAAGACACTAATTAATTGATTGGCATTATCAACATGCATAAAGGTGGTTTTAACAGGAAATCTTTGAAACAGAACTGTCAACTTAAAACAAATTTCTTCCATGACTTGAGCAGTTTGATTCCATTAAATGGAAATTGGTGTCTGTAACATTTTTAGACAATAGAGGACTGTTGTCTAAGAAATAATGTGTGCGGTTTTATTTAGTCATGGAATGTTAATTATTTTGGCTGCCATTCAAACTTTTGTTTTGTCAACAGAACTTTATACCCTAACCTTGTCTGGAGTACAGTGGACTAAAATGAAGCTTTCTTACTTAAGAGTCACGTAAGACAGATTTGTTACTGTCATTCACTGAGCATTTCATTCTGAATACAGTAGATGTTATCCAAAACATTTCCATGCAATTTAAGTAATTTGACTATAACATCATAAGGATGGATTACTTCATAGTGGCCAAAGATGACAGTAGTATTTTGAATCTCTTGTGTTGAATTATGCAGGATGTTTTGAGTTATCATGGCCAAGATTAATGTGGAAGGCACATTCCTCCATCTTGTGTGGATGTCATTTCTTTTGGTGAGCACTTTGATTCAGCCTGGAGATTCTGATGAAGGTAAGCTTAGCTCTGTGACTTTTAATCCTGTAAGAATTTGTGAACAGCAACAGCAATAACACCTGCTTTATTACTTATATTACTGATTCATGGATTAATCTCCTGATTTATGTTTTGACGTGGTATTGAATTTTTTCTCTAGGTATTTACTTTGTACATGGCAATCTAGACGTTGCTATAATGACAAGATTGAGTTTTGTAGCTGTCTGCTAAAAAATCTTGTAATAAAACAAATTTTGTTCATAATATTATGAACTTAAATTAAAGGTAGCTGATAGCTCTCATCTGCAAGTATTTTACTGTATTGGTGAGGCTTAATTCAGAACAGACTTAAAGATTTAAGATTAATTTTATGCCAAGTGTACTCAAATCTGCTTGACAAGCAGATATGTTTAATTAACACATTGAGTATAACTTTATGTGTATAGTATATCTAACTGTCTAGTGACAGCTTGTAGAATTGAAGCTGTAGATACTATTTTTTGGTATCGTTTCCCTCTTATTTACCCACAACATCAGGTTTTTAAGTGTGTTTACATCATCACTGAGATTCAATCAACAGTTGCATGTACAGCAAGGAAATACACACTAGGACTTGCAACATAAATTTAAAGTTGTTTTAACCTCCCTTCTAATTCTTGTAAGCATTTCCCTTGTAACCAACTACTATAGATGCACATGTATGTGTAAGGTAGCAAATTCCTTTCAGTCATTTACTTAAGAAATAGAAAACATGTACCGTGTTTCTATTGAGTTATAGAAACACGAGAAAGAATGAAAAAAATGAAAACAGCTTGTTAACTTTGATTATCAAAGTGTAAATTCTCTTTGCTCGTTTCATCATTACGTCAACAGCTTGTGCTAGTTCTGTGTTTCCATCGAGTTATAGAAACGCAATTTTTAACCAATCAGCGCCCGTATTTTCTTAGGACTGTTTTCTAAAACATTTTAAACCTCTTGTAGGAGTCTGACTATAATCATCTCCAGGAGTCATCTAAACCCATATTCATGTTGCAGATTTCCTATAATTTTATGATCTAGCTTTCTACCAGCAGTAGAGAGCAAGCCTTCCTGCCTCTTGTAAAAGACTGTCTTCCAACCACTTTTTGAATGTGCATAAAATGTACTAAATCCATCTCCATCTTGTCTACATCTGTAGATTGTCTGTCTCCTCTGGGAATGGAGGATGGACGTATCAAGGATGATCAGCTTCGTGCTACGACTATTTTAAATGGTCTAAGCCAGGCTGCTAATGGTAGATTGAATCACAAGGATGGCTACGGTGGATGGTGCCCTAATCAGACACGCAGTGGAAATGAAACAGGACCATTTTATGACCAGTTTATTCAGGTCAAGTTAGATATGCCCGTAAGACTCAAAGGTATTGCTACACAAGGCCGTTATAACGGTGTGGAAAAAGTGAAGCGTTACTGGGTTACTTATACACCAGACAAAAAGAATGAGCGTTCAAAGTGGATTTTCGACAAAAAAACCAAAAATGTGAAGGTATGAAATTTCAGGAAGTTGTGATTGCCAGTAAGCAAGAAAGAGAAGGCCCCTTATAAATACATATAATTGATCTATTACCCCTTACCCCGTAAGTATATAGCAAAGAAGAGAGCTTACCTTGTAAGTCTTTGTTTTGTAGTAAAATTTCAGTGAGTAACAAGCTCTCTCTAAACTAAGTTTTCCCCCTCTAATTTAATGTTCATTTTGTTTTTATTAAGAAAATTCTCAAATCTTTTGTCCACTGTTGACTACTTGAGACTTGGGCTCTGGGCTTCTATAAATGAACCTTGTTTCTAAAGGGACTGCTGGGATTGGTAAAAAATTCAAACAAAGTTAAATGCAAAGAAAATGTTGTTATTCAAGTTTAATTAGCCTTGGGAAACTTTTTTGAACACCTGTTAACTGTTGCAAATTGTTTTGTTCAGTTCTTTGAAGGTAACATCAACAGTAAACCGCACATAAATAAACTAAAACCACCCATTGTTGTGGAGCTAATTAGAATTGTTCCAGAATTGTACAAAGGTAAACAGGTGTGTCTCAGGTTTGAGCTTCTTGGATGTCCATTGAAATATGGTGAGTATTTCTTAAAATTATTACTTTCGACCCACATTCTGTCACACAGACAGGTCCTTTGTGCCTCAGGTGTGATGAAATTTTGTCAGTGACAGTGGTCAATACTTTGGTTGCATAACAAGTAGAAAACATTTCAGCCTCTTTTGCCCAGTCCATGTGCACCAGGGTTGTCAAAAGTGGATAGCTGCTAGCAAAAGCCACCATCTGCATGTGACTTCAGCTGACTAGTCTGCTGGGTTACTCATCTGATTCCTCTAACAGTAGAGTTACTCATTTAAAAACTTTTTGGCAACTGTGGACTGCACATTTTTTTTTTATTGTTTATCATAAATTATAATAATTATAGATAGGACCCTGCACACGCTCTGATCGGTCAAAAACCCTTGTCTTATCAGAGTATAAAACATAGAAAAAGTGTGTTTTTCTGTTTTTGCCACATTACCTCCAGTCAACATTTTGTTAGAGACGGCAAAAAACATTTTCTTTGAAGAAATTTGTGATGGAATTCTCTGCAAAGCAGCAGAAAGTTTTGAAGACGAGGCATGTAGCACTTTAGTGGTATTAAATTGTGTCAGTTTGTCAATCTGTGCGCTTTATTTTTTCTACTTGCGGCATGTAAAATCTATATAATAAAGCAAATGAAGAAGCCTAAGCCATGTATTACACGATGATAAAACACTCCAGACATTTGAGAACATTCGCGAAATGGAGAAACACTCAACTGCTGCTTGTGTTTTCTACATTTTCCTTGTGTTCTCAAATGCCCATCGTGTTTTATCACAGTTTAGAAAACAGTCCCAAGAAAAATATGCGCGCTGTTTAGTGACAAATTGTGCTTCTATAACGTGATAGAAACACAGAACTAGCATAAGCTGTTGACGTAATGATGGCATGAGCAAAGAGAATTTACATTTTGATAATCAAAGTTAACAAGTTGTTTTCCTTTTTTGTCGCGGTGTTTTCTAAAAGAAATGGAAAAGTTGTTCTCCGTGTTTCTATCAAGTTATGGAAACACTTGTGGGAGAACTTGAAAAAAACTGTGGAAACACTCACCTGTGGCTTATGCTCCCACAGCATTTCTTGTTCTCCTAAACTTCCACTTGTGTTTCTATAACTTGGTAGAAACACGGTACAGTTTTTCTATTTCTTAAGTAATACACGGCTTAGGCTTCTTTATTTGTTACATGTAAATAATATAACATGTGAGAAGAGACCCTTTTGTTTTTTCTCTTTGTGTTTTCTTATATATGTGAGAAGTGAACTTGAGTGAAACAAAAATACTACTGAACAATGGAAAGTACTGCAGCTGTGTTGATATACCAAAAGATACTTAAAATCTCCCTGTTATTAACTTGAAAATCACTCTCCTTACTGTGTACAGTGTAAATTTGCTTTGGAAGTTTTGTGAGATACATCAATTGATTTGGTTGCACCACTTACACGTGTAAATATGCTGATTTTTTTGACTTTCATTTTCGTGACTTTATGAAAGAAAAGGTACTGTACTGTAAGCATTTCCCTTTCATACACCTCCAAGATGAGTGAGAGCCTGAGGGTATTTACAAGTGTCTTTGCTAGGGTCATAGTGCAGTGAAGCCAGCTGGGGTGCCAGCAGTTTGCCAACCATAAGGCCACTGTTGGTAAACAAAGAGTTGACATGGTATTTTTGACTCACCACTCAGGTCTTGTCAAATACCAAATGCCTCAAGGTAATACAAGAGGAGGAAGGTACAACTTCACAGATTCAAGTTACGATGGTTTTACCAAAAACAACTTTCTATCTGCTGGCCTTGGAATGCTCACTGATGGAAAATTGGCCCCTGAAGATTTTGCTGCCACTAATGGTTGGATTGGGTGGAATGAAAAATTCACACCTACACCTTACATCATATTTGAGTTTTTGAACATAAGAATCTTTCATTCTATGACTCTCCATTGTAATGTAAGAGACAGAACAAAGATCAAGTTGTTCTCCAAAGTTGTAGTAAGTTTCAATGTGGATGGTGTTTCATTTAATGCGTCACGGACATATGAACCAGAGAATGTTTCCAGTGGATTAGGTTGGATGAACTACAATGTTACGATTGACTTGTGCCAACACATAGCAAAGTTAATGAAGTTGAATTTTACCTATATGTATGCAGAGGGCTGGATATTAATCAGTGAAGTCACTTTTGACTCAGGTAAGTTCACAGTGTTTGTTTTAAAGAGGCTTGAAAAACTTTGACTTTGCTTTTGGCTTAAATAGAAGGTGGGCAAATTAATGCAATTCTTGCATTCTTTGAATTTCTAGGAAAAAGATAAGTATAACTCCTAAATCTGTATTGTATGCTCAATGTCTTCTGTATACAAATACAGGTCAGATAGGGGCAGATTGTACAAGTGCTAAAAGGGGTAACTAGTTTTTGTGTACTTTCTGTAGCGCTACATTTACATTGCACTTGTTTGTTTTACATGTAATAGTGGATGAAAGAAGGTCCAAGTTGGAATAATGTACCTCAGGGCATCGTGGTGAATGGGCTATAGTTTTTAAAAGAAATTTTTTTAAAATAAATCATGCAGCACTTTACTTTCATCAGCTGTTATTATCAGGTTGCGGCCCTTATTGACAACCCTTAACAGGCCTTTCAATTCTTTATGTGTTGTTAAGGCAATGTGTTGATTTGGTTTCAGAGCCACTTGGTACCAAGTCACCTCCTGAACCTGTCTGTGCTCCTACCCTGACCCCTCCTCTTTCCACAATGCCACCAACTGACACAAGAAGTTTACTTACCAGCAGCAGCCCATCTGAGGGGGTCTTAGGTGAAAAAGGTAATTTAACTCACATCCAATCATTTTTCACTGGCTATACGCCTAACATAGTTAGAAAAGAAATTTCTGTTTGATTGAAGCATTTTAGACAAGAAATATGGTTTCTGTTACTTATCATTGAGGAACATTGTGATATCTTTGTACATACAGTATATTAGCTTGTGATATTTCATGCACAAATGCTTTGTTTTGGTGATGGAGCTGTGATCATGAGGAATGAAGAAGCAAGGAAATTTTTACGAAGGAAGTTTAAACTATGCTATTCCCCATCTTCCTCACAGCCTTACCGCTCTCATTAGATATTCTCATGTGTTGCTGAAACAAACCAGCCATACACAAAATACTGGTAGCTGTGCTGGTTATGAAATCCTTTGTGGCCAGACTTTTTTGGGAAAATTCCCAATTTTCCTTGAGTGTTTTTATAACTAAATAGAAACACAGAGAACATGTGTTCTATTTCTTTTAGAAAATTCCGCGGTGAAACAAAGAAAACAGTGCGTGTGCTTTGATCATCAAAATGAAAATTCTCGCCGTCAGTACATCAACAGCCTGTGCTAGTTCTGTGTTTCTATTGAGTTAGAGAAACCAGATTTTAAACCAAGCAGTGCATGTATTTTTCGGGGGCTATTTTGCAAACTGAAATAATAATTAGCATGCTGTTTGTTGATCATGATTTACCTTCACATCAGATCCTGGAGCTAGTTCCAGTAGCGGGTCCATGGATGGTGGTGTCATAGCTGGTATCATCTGTGCTGTGATAGCTGTCCTGTTGGTGATTGCCTTGTTTATCTGCTGGAAGCGCTACCCTCACTTGTTGTTTCATCGTGAAAAACCATTCAACTCTTTCATCAAAGTTGAAGTGAAGCCTTATGCTCATTACCATGCTCCACAGCGTGTGTCTCGCCTGGACAGTACAGTGAGTGAAAATGAAGAGAAGAGATACAGCTTCAAGAACAATGTGTGTAGCGAGGGAGGGGTTGGTGGAGCAGATGTGACTGTCTGCCCCATATATGCTAGTGTACAAGAAAACTTGAACAAGAGTGTTCCTGCAGATGGCAATCTTAACAATCTCTCAAAGTGCCAGAGGCATAATTCTGAGCAAAAGCCCCCAAAGAAAGGTATGTTTCAGAAGCTATATCTGACCTTTTAAGTCAGCTGTACATTGCAGAGCAAGAAATGTGTATCCTTAGTTACATGTAGTACACTTCCAGATTTAACTTGTGATGCAATCAGCTTTCTGTAAGTGGTCAGCTGTGGTAGAGGTGGTTTCCAGTGGAATGCCATTAATTTGTCCCCCAACGTCAATTAATAAATGAGACAATGACAGATTGAACTTATGTTTGGGGCTAAAAAAGAGAAATCAAACAAGGTGATCTTAATCAGTAGTCAGCTGGTATCAAGTCGGATTTCCCCATTAAATTTTAGATGCTTCAGCTACATCTAAAGATACAGTGGAACCCCGTTAATGCGACCACCTTCGGGCCATGAAAAATTGGTCGCATTAACGGGGTTCTTTAAATAAGGAAATGACTGACTGAGCTGTTTTGGGGGGCCAGAATAAAGTGGCCGTAATAAGAGGTGGTCGTCAGGCGGGGTTCCACTGTTCAAGTATCTTAAAATGAAACCTGTATTAAGCGAACCCCATGTTAAGCGGACACCCTGTATTTAGTTGACACCAGCTTGAGTCCCAAAATCTTCCTCCTACATTTACTATAAAATAAACTTGCATTCAGCGGACACCTCTGTTAAGCGGACACGGATACCAATATTAAGCCATTTTGTGGCACAAAACCTGCAATAAGCGGACACTTCAAGGGCTTGCTACTTCTAAAAGCTCAGCTCAGACTCCTTTAACATTGTTCAGTGATATCGTTTCAAAGCTAAGTAGGTTATTCCAGATTGATGTATTGACTGACTGAATATTGTGCTGTGAGCAGTCTTTGATCGTACACTGTGTTGCACTGAGTTACAAAAGGGTTAATGAACTATTATTGCACGATATGTTATAACCTGTTTTGAACGGACACCCTGTATTAAGCGGACACTAGTGAGGGTCCCAAGGGTGTCCGCTTATTACAGGTTCCACTGTGTAGAGATTGTTGGTCCTTATAAAGAGTTGCATGTCTTGTGTGTAATACCGTGGCCTGTTTTTGATTCTCTTGTTATTTGTTACGTTTTCATTTCTCAGTTAAGCCTTCTATACCGCCACCCCTCAAGCCATTTCAGCAAACGCCAGACAATGTTTATGCCGAGCCTAACGTCCCTTTGCTACCTCCGGCGTCACCAGGCACGGGTGGATCTCCTAAACCTCCAATACCGCCACGAGCTTCACAGATAAACTTTACGAATGCATCAAGCTTTCCCGATAATCATTATGCGGAGCCAGACTCTCCCTCGGAGAAAAGCCCCATGATCGAGGAACCAGCCAAGCCTAAAATTGTTAGCGGCTATGCCGAACCTATCGATGCTATTTCTCCTACAACAATTACTACTTTTCCTAATCCTATTTACGAGGAGGTGTACTCAGAGCCTTATCAGGGCGTGTCTGGCACCAGTTTGTATTGCAACCCCGATGAGGACCTGAACTTTAGACCGAGACTGGACACGTTTAAGGACTTCCCTCGTCATAAGCTTCACTTCAGAGAGAAGATCGGCGATGGACAGTTTGGCGAGGTGCACATCGGAGAGGCGGAAGGCTTAGGAGACATTTTAGGCGAGGAGTTCAAACACAGTCCACGTGTGACTGTTGCTATCAAAACGCTCAAACTAGACGTGGACAAGAACATCAAGGATGATTTCTTCAAGGAGGTGAAAGTCATGGCAGGACTAAGGCACTCCAATGTCGTTCGTCTGTTAGGCGTTTGCCGTGATGATCCCATGTACATGATCGTCGAGTACATGGCTAACGGTGATCTTAATCAGTTCCTTAAAGAAAAGGAACTAACGCCTAGCTTGTCTCTGAATGAGAGCGACGGATGGGAGGATACAGGACAGTATGTCTCTCCGCAGGCGCTTTTTTACATGGCAAAACAAGTGGCAGCTGGGATGAAGTACATCTCTTCGTTGAACTATGTCCATCGTGATCTTGCCACGCGGAACTGTCTTGTTGGACACGCCTACACAGTGAAGATCGCTGACTTTGGCATGTCAAGAAACTTGTACTGTAAACATTACTACCGCATAGAGGGACGCGTGATTTTACCAATACGATGGATGGCGCCTGAGTGTATTCTTCAAGGTAAGATAGCTGGTAGCAAAATTTAAATTAAGGGTTTATTCTAGGGATGGTTGCCCTTCATCCAGGCAGCTACTTTTGTCGACCACAAACCTGTCTTTTTGGGGGAAGTTCCTCCGAACACTTTCTTAGCTTTTCTGAGCTTAGTAATTCTTTTACGGGCCAAATCGAGCGCCTCGTTTCGTTAGGTTGTGTCTGAACCCCGTTCTTTACGTCCGAACTTAAGGAAATGGGAGGTTGTTTTGTAGTTAACTTCGTGAAAGCATCATTTTTAGTTTCGTATGCTTGGTGACACAGCCCAACAAAGAACTAGGATCAGTTACTATTAAGAAAATTACCGAAGTGGCGTGGTTGTTTGGGGAAGGTACGACACTAATTGAAAAGAAGATTGAAAACGTCTCGTTTGATATTTGCAGGCCGCTTTACCACCGCTAGTGACGTGTGGGCGTATGGTGTGACCCTGTGGGAGATCCTCACCCTGGCGAAAGAGTACCCTTATTCAGAGCTCACTGATGAAGAGGTAATACAAAACGTGCAGAAGATGTTCCACGGGCAGGATAAACCCTTCACTATCCTACCTCAGCCAGAGACGTGTCCAGATGACTTGTATCGGCTCATGAAACAATGCTGGACCAAGGAGCTGGAGCGAAGACCCTCGTTCATGGAACTGCACAGCAATATAGCAGAGCGTGTACGACTCAGCGAAGTCACCATTTAGTTTTGCTCGAAGTAGTTGGTGGCCATCAAAAGAGTTGCCATGACAGGACTCGATAGTCGTGTGTTCAATAATGATGATGTGGGCGGGTATTTTTCCATTTCTAGAATGGCTGATTGCTTCTATGCTACATTGTTTTAATGCAGTCGTGAAACCTGACGCAGAGTATTTAGACCAAGATATGCAAACAAAAGCAAAGTTTTGATTGGCGTTGGCTTTGCTCGTTATTGTTTAAATATAACCGGTCCATCGACTGCAGTTTGTTTGCAGAATACAGGTGTTTCATTAACCAAACAGAGACCTTGCCAAGCGCAAGACTAGTACTTTTGTAAGTCAATCAAACAACGCTCTCTCGCATCCAAATCCCTTAGTTGTTTGGCTCGGTTTTTAGAATGCTACGAAGAGCTGGTACTACCACAATAGACATTTTAATCGAATCAATTTCTTGGGGCAGGGGTGCCTTAGAGGACCCAGTTACACTCGGAGTCGCATCATTACCTGGAAAACCTTTCAATCCTGAGTCACGTTGGTGATTCATTAGTCTTAGATATTTTAACGTTTTTGTAGTGTACTATTCAGAGATGAGTATTTAACTCCCAATTTCCTGAGAAAGTGTAAATTTGTAGAAGTTGAAAATTTGTTGTTATGATTGCGGTAATGTCACCCTTCTTCGAGGACCGGGGAACTGTCTGTGAAGTGTAAATGGTGAACTGCAGCTGTTTTTATAATAGGAAGTTGATTATTTATCTGCTAAAATTAGCTGGAACAGAGCATACTTTCTGTACAGGGTGGTATATTAGTAATTTGCATCAGTTTTGTAATATATTGTTTTGTAAAGCAGTTACCTGTAATTTGAATTGAAATTAAAGTAATTGCTATTTTATAGGATATTTTTTTGCGAGGTGTCGCGACTGGCGATTTGAGGGAACGTGTTCTTTCTGGACTTATTTATTGAATTTACTGTGTCCGTCGACACGCCAGAGGTGTTTTTCCGTCATAAGTAAACGTTTGGTATTATTTTAGGATCTATTTTGTTGTCGGGGGCGGCTGGTTGGAAATGACCCCTGAGTTCCAATATTTTACGCCAGTTTCTGATTTTCAAAGGTACTGAAGTGAACCTTAAACTAATAGATTGCTTAGGTAAAATAACACCAAATAAGTAATAAAAGCTGAAAACACGGATTGTTTTCACTGTGCGACTGGGGAAGAATAAGACGAATTACAAATGTCTTCCAAAAAAAACAAACTGAAGAGGCCATTTTTTTTTTAAGATGGACGTTCCGACGTGTTTTTTTTTTCATTACGAGGCGCAATCTTCCAGCGAGGGCTTCAACAATACGAGGGTGGTCTTTGCTGGTGTCCACTGTAACATTGTGATCAAGAGAGAATTATCTAGATCATCCTCTCGTGTTGCGATGGAGGCAAAAAAGTAATAAGGCGATTGCATGACAATTGACTTTTATTGAAAAATTGTGTACGCAGCAATGTCAATAAAGTTTAACCTTATGTAACCAGCCTAACATACAAAAGCGGATATAAATATAAGCTTTCAGGAAGTGAGCATAAATTAATTCATCTTGGATGTTTCCTTTCGGTCCTTTTATAACGTCACTATAAACAGCATCTGCCATCGAAAACACGATGTTGGCCTGTATTCGGGTTAACAAAGTTCAGAAACTTGCGAAAAAAAATTCAGTTGAAGTGTAAGCATTTGGTTGTTGTCTTCAAAGAAAAGTGATTCTTGAAAGATTAGGACAGTTACAAGCACGTCCAGCGTGTGTTGCGTGTTTTATTCCGGGTTAGGGTTAGATTTGGCTCCAGCCAGTAGAGATTTCCTGATCTCACGGCCAATGGCCGCTGCCAAAGGAGGCGGTACTGCATTTCCGACCTAAGAGATGAAGGACAACAACACAACGTTGAGTGTCTGAAAAAACGTGTTTGTCAAAAATTGACAAGGACCCTTTATAGTCTACCGTAAATTTACTACCAGATTGTGCAATTCTAAAAGGCAAAACCTTGAAATTTGTGCAATGAAAACTCCAAACATGTTGCTACTGGTTAGGAATCCTCTTAACTAGAAACGACCTTCGTTTGCAGGTTTCTTTTCTATTGGTTTACTAGCTGAAGACATTTGGTGTATTCAAGCTTTGAGCCTTTCAGTATTTTAAAATTTTAACCAAGCCATTTGGCTATGTTTCAGCATTCTCCGAATGACAGGAAATTAACGGGAGAAAGCTCATTAGTTGGGTCAGCCAGTTAACTGATAACTCACTAAAAGCTGCCACGCAAACGCTGAATTTTCACTTTTGCAAAATTACAGGCAAAATGGACTCTAATTAAGCTAATCCAGAGATTTTTTGAATTGGGCCCATTCTTGTGTTTAAAAGCACCACAGGCCGCCGGTTAAAATGACCGTAGTTAAGCATTGGACAGCAACGGATTTGTCGGGGAAATATTGAGTGACACTTCTTGGACCTACTTCAAAGTAGCCTTTCATTTACCGATGTGCAAGGACCAATCTTAAGACCCCACCTAGTTTTAGTGCCGTCATGATAAGTCTGATAAGCTGCCACGCACACCTGACTACTACGAGGTCTTTCAACGCTACACCTAAGATTTGACAAACATTGTACGCTTACCTGCCGATGTTTATCGAGAATATTTCCGTAGAACCGGTACGTGTCGGGGAAGCCCTGGGACCTGGCGCATTCTCTAACGCTGACAACTCTATGCTGCTCTGGATGGAGAACCCGTCCCTACGAAAAGGCACGTATAAAGTCAACGGCAGTAATTGCCAACCTCAATCGATAATAGTGAAACTGCCTTTAGGAAACCTTTGCTGTCAACGATGGGAAGCAAACGCACAGTTAAACGCGGGAGCGTAAAGGCCCGGGGGAACACTCCCAAATAAAAAGGGCGTGGCTGCTCGTCGGAAATTTTGAAAAGAACCTCCAAGAGGTACCAAGAGCCTGCTTTGAGGGCGTGGCTTGAAATTTACTTCACCCCTGTGAATCTTTTGAGGCTGAACACCCTAAGAGGTATCAACTGTTCTTTTAACCCCTAAAAGGTACGACAAGCAACCCCGTCCTTTTTAAAACGGAGTCCTCCTCTCCCCCCCTCTTCCCCGTGGGTTAAGATAATTTTTTTCAGAGCTGTTAAGTTTTAACACGCTGGTACTGGGTTGTTTTAAAATCCAAGCAAATACGAAGTGTCAAGCGCTTTCACTAAAGTACGAAACACATTCCATCATGTCGTTTCATGCCTACAAGGCAAATGCCGTAAAAGAGCCTGCTGACCTGCTTTCCCATGGGCTCAGGATTTGTTATGGTGGTACTAAAGTACCCGTCCCACTCCAGTCGGCCGTACAGCCCCGCCCAATGATTGTGTCTGTTTCCCGTATGAGGAAGGCACCACGGTACAAGGGTGTTAAACTGGCGGTCAGCGGGATCACATGGCTTGCCTTCTGCGCATGAGCACACTCCACGTAAGACACCGTTAGATGAGTGACCGTTTTTCGGGTCATTGTGCGTGTAGGTCCTGAAATGATACCAGAATAGAACTCATAAGTCGAGTTTGGTCCTTGATAGACAAGTATTCAGTACGACAGAACACGCTTTAAGACAAGGAACCCTTTCACCTCACAGCAGCTCATGAGGGAAAGTCATATAAACGGAGAAATCAAAATAAGAGAAAGAGGGCTCGCAGGGAACGCCCTCCATGTGGCCTCCATGTACTATGCAATTCATTTTTTCCGTTTCCCTAATCTTGTATCTTCGCGCGCGCTTTAAAGTGCCTTCCGCGGAGGAAAGGGATAATTTTGCGATTATTTCAAGGACTAATGGAACTTGAGAGTCTTCGAGCATATGTAGCTACTGAAGCTGGCAAAAGTTCGCGTTTATATGACGTAATTGAACATTTTTGCGCAAGGGGAATTTGTTAGTTTGCACTTGTGACTAACGCTCAACGGTCACAAGTTGCAAAGGGTTACTTGTTGATTTGTCGTGCGAAAAGTTCTTCGAACACGTTTGAGGAAAATCACATTGATCACTTTTTAAAAGCCAGGATAGCTTATACTAACAAACAAACAAACAAACAAACAAAAAATAAATAAACAAAAAGACAACGAAAATAACAAACAAACAAACAAGCAGATAAATAGACTTAAAAAAGACTTGGAACTTACAGTTTCTTGGTATAGGTACCGTCTGATAGACGTACAATGCTATTTGGCAAGTCTCTCCAGTCAGAGCCGGGAGCAGTCGGAATGTAACGCATGCGTACTGCAACAAGAGGATTCATCTCTTTGCAAATGTGGTCTCGAAGAACTGGTTGGTATTGACTGCCACGCATCTGTGGATTCAAACATAGTAAGATCGGACATTGCAGTTTACACGACTTGAAAATACCCGACAAAGTCATGTGAAGGACAAAGTTATTCCCAACCTGAATAAAACAACCATTCGTTTCGTTCCACTAGAAGGTGCTACAACTATAGAGAACACACAAAACAGAAAGAACACAGAATTGCTAAGATCTCTTACTTGTCGCTGGAAGTGTGAGATGGCATCCCCATTGTAGGAGATCTCGTCATTTGATGCGCCGTTCCTGATCTCTGGGAGATCGGACATGGCGTCACGTACGGTGATCGTTCGGTATGGAGCCGACGACAGCCGAGTGATATTCGATTGGAACTGCGGAAACAACAGTCAGAAGTATAAGCCACCGATACCGACTTTGACTTTATTCCTTAATTGGTCCCTGGCATTTGACCAGTTTTATTCTTCAGAATCAAGCAATCCTTTACGTGTCTACCTTAGTATCGTCTACCTTAGTATCGTCCACCATGACTGTAAGTTGAATGGCCCGGGGAGAGAAACAGTGCGTAGGCTCTGGGTACAGCGGTAACACCTCACCAGGAGCAGCCGCCATTATAATGGCCCTGAAACGAAATCGAGGCAAGTTAACTAAGTAACGTGCTGAAAAATCTTTGGGGGATTGGATTGTAAAAATCAAAAACTCCTCTATTGCAGCCCACTAGTGGTGTTTCAAAGATTTTTTTAGGACGTTATAGGAAGTCTTCGATTCTTAAAATATCATCCTCCAAACCGAAGGAGAAGAAGAAGAAGACCAACAACAACGGCAACAACAACAAAACAGTAAATAACAAGAACAATAACAAACGAAACGATAACGATAACGATGACGATAGAGACAACAACACAGGCAATCGTGAGCATTCCGAGCAATGCCAAGTCAGCTTACATAGTCGCGATCACAATACGTCACGGCCGCTTCCTTATCCAATTCTGTTTGACTATAAAGAAAATGAAACATTGCAAAAAAGAATCAGATGGAAGCAATTGATATGTCTACCTTCGCCTGGTCTGTGGAACGCCATAACAGCCAGCCTGAAGTACACCAAACGTACACTGCAGAGATAGTTAAAGAGGAATCGTTAGAAAACAGAAATTGAACCTGTCAGCATCCTCCATTCTCAAAGTCTAAGGCTCCGTCCAAACCACGCCGGAGGAATTCGAAAACGCAAAATTACTTCTGCGGTTAGGCCTACCGTCCACACTAATCCGGCACGAAAACGGAGCTTTTCCAAAACTCTCCTGAAACTGGAGGAATTTGAAAACGCCGGCTTTGCGTTTTCGTGTGGGCGGAAAACGTTTTCAAAACGGAGCTTTTCGAAAACGATGGCTTAAGGATAATCATATGATTTCCCTGACCGAGTTTTCCTCAAACACAAATTCAAAATGATTGGTGATTGTTGCGTTTTTAAATTCTTCCGGCGAAGTGTGGATGGAAAACATCTGATGCGTTTTCATAGCAAAACGTCCGTTATCAAATTCCTCTGGCGTAGTGTGGACGGGGCCTAATAAACAAACTACCAGTGACAAAAATTGAAATGAAGTCACTTGTACTTTGAACTTTTAAAATTAACCTCGGTATTCGACGTTCATATACAAAACAAAACAGTGAATCTACCTGATATCCCATCTTCAGCAGACAGCGCAGAGTTAACTTCAGTACCATGCTTCGTTTGAAGGACACGAAGTTACGAACATTCTCGAGAATGAAAAATTTCGGCCGATAGTAATCACAGTAGCTGAGGTACGATACAACCAGAGAATTCTGCTAAGATTATTATTAATAAATTGCAAAGATTAGCCAAGTTCTAAAGGAAAATAAACTGATATAATATTTAATTTTTACCTTGAACTGTGAGTAGTCCCTTGAACTGAACCTGTTCATTCCACTGAATCCTTGACAAGGGGGGCCACCACACAACAGCTCCACCTCTCCCTTCTGGGGCAGTGTTTGTCCTTTAGTGTTCTTCTTTTCTCCCTGAGGTTATGAAGCAAAAGGGCCGTCTGTTAGAATTGGTTTACTTCTCATTTAGTCCCATACCATACTCATAAAGATTCAGCCAATCACATACATGGCTGTAACGATGTATTCAGAGGTTATTTCCTTACGTTGCATGTGTGTATCTTGGAATGTTTTCACGCGGTATTAAATAACCAGTGAATATCTCATAAGTAGCTGTGTTTATTGCCCCACACTATCACTCACAAAAGGAAGCAACGTTTTGACTTTGTTTCTCCGACTATTTTAATCTGAAACAGCAGCCTCCTTCGTTCGTTGTCTTTTAGAATAATAATAACAACCATAATGAAAAAAACTAAACGTTCTTTTTTGTTTGAAGACAAATTTTAAACCTCATATATGGTTTGACTGAACTCGAAACCGCAAGAAATATTACACTACACATGATCATCATCACTTCACGTGATTATCACATGACATAGCTTACATCCATGACGAGTTTTAGCAGCAAGTTACAGTCGTCAGTGAACACAGTACATCCGGGATTGTTAAGACTGAACGCACTTGCTGCGGGCTCCTCTTTCTCAACGGCCCACCGGGACTCAGCCACGCCAGCCTGATGAAGACCCTCCGAGAGACCTGCGCCAGAAATCACAGGTTACAGGTGCTACAATACAATACCAAGACCTATTTGGGCCTAACAAATTACTCCATGTCTTAGAGTGAAAAGAAGCCTTGACAGGGCAGATCGAAAAAAACTTTTACATAAAATGACTTACCACCACATCCTGCAAAAACATCCAGACATCGCAGTTTGGTGAGTGTTTGACTGGCTTTATCACTGCCATCTTCCTTTAAGCACTGGCCCTCTGTTTCAGGAGATGCCTTCCCCTTGCCCTTGCCTTTCCCCTTTCCTTTGCCCTGAATGAGAAATCACAAGAAAACAGGAAGAAGGGAGTATAATCGAGTGCTTCTTAACGGAAGACTTTCGCACACCAGCTTGTTGGCAAACCTCGTTCCTGCATGAAGGTCTTCTTTGCCATTGAAATCTAACATTGTTTTATTGAAATCTAAGTTAACAGCTGCAAATTGTGGCTACTACAGAATCGGATTAGCTGCCATTTTGGACTTGCACTCTAGAGAATACCCTGGAAACGAGCTGTCACCCAGACGCCGTTGCATTGGCTGCATGATAAAGGCTTTCGTCAAAGTTTAATTTCTTTCTGTTGGCTTCCTAAGCCTTTTAGCCAATCAAAATTTAAACTGAGTCCACAAGGTCACGTGCATTTGGACTTGTTCACCGACAGGTACTGACCTTTCCTTTCATTGCAGCGTTCCGCGCCTCCATCGGAGGTTCTTCGAACTCTTTTGTTTCACTGTTGTACGCCTAAAGGAAAGAAAAAAAAAAAATCGGTGTTAGTAAAAGCAGTAGCCGTCGGCTAAACAGCTAACTGGAGAAAATTCTCACCTCCAAGAAGTAAAAGTAGTTGATTCCTCTAGCTGTGTATTCTTCAACCGAGCAGTTAAGATCTTCTCCACAGGTCACAACACACCCACCTACCACATCGTCAACGGCGACGGTTGCCTCTGAAGAAAAACATGATAACGAAAGTATGGTTACGAAGACGGCATGTCTAAGTCAAAGTATGATTTGTTTTGTCTGTGATTTTCCATTCTTGTGATCGGTTAAAAGCTCCCTCATTTGTTAGTGCAATGCATATAAAGCAGAAATCACTGTTGTAAAGTCCTTTTGAAGTCAGGTACAACCCTGAGAAGGAAGTTGCATTGCGATAGAGAAGTAAATGTGAACACTGTTTTAAAAGAAAGTTTTAGGGAAGCTTGACTCCTTTACCTTCTTTACTCCAGTATAGCAAATTCAAATTGGCTTGATGGCCAAAACTAGAGCCTTTGTGCGTATTCTCTGGCCTGGAAAGAAAAGTGCAACTTCGTTCAGAAAATTGCAAAAATAAAATTTCTCGGAATGGGAAGTATAACTTTCGACTTTAATCAATCTGTTCCACATTGGAAAAAAAACCCACAAAATTTGATCCTTAAGTATGAAGAATGACTACTATTGTCATTGTGTAGTACGTAACCTTCTTAGCCAACTTTGGTTTTCAATCTTGAAAGATAATTTTTTGAGACGATTTAGAACCTAAATTCTCACCACCTATCTCCTTTAATGTGCTAAGAAGCACTAAGGAGAAACTCGTAACCAATCACATTTAATGCTGACACAACAAAAACTGTAATATTAATACCTATAAAATTTGCTGACAGTCAGCATAACTTCCAGTTCTTCCGTCAGTTTCCCTGAACTTGACTTTGTGAAGATGCTAACAATGCGACCTGAACAGAAAATAAAAGAAAACAGTGGGTAGATTGTAAAACAACAACAACAACAACAACAACAACAAAACAATTAACTGCTCGTGAAGGCCCATATTGAAGTTTTTCATTTATCAGCTCACAAAAGAATCCCTTTTGCCTGTTCATTTCCGATTCCATAGCCATAAGTCATCCCCCCATGCATTTTTGCTGCGATAAATCATCTATTATCTTGTTCATATATGACTGAGAAGATTAGTTCATTGTGGTCGGCTGAAAGCAGGCCAATTTATCGCTAACTTTCAAATTGCACTGCAGTGCAAATTAACGCGCGCGCGTTCGCAATTTTCTCAGTCATATAATAAATGAGAAATCCGATGAAAGCTCGAGCAATCAAGGATTTACACTAAACATAAAATTTGAAAATTCTTCCAAACTGCACTCACCTTAAGGCTCGAGCAATTTTGAGAGAGTTTTCAAAAATCACCCCTCGTGTGAATCCTAAATTGCACTCGCATTTACACGATTTCTTTTACATAACGTTTTGCTGAAATAAAGAGCGCTTGGTGATGTTTACCTATTTTGAATGGTTCAGGCACGTCATAGTTGCTTCCCTTCACATACTCTGCCGGCTTTCTGTAATATTCTGGATACACTTCTTCATCCACCTGCCAAGGTAAAACAATACGAGAGGTTTTAAAATTCTACTGGAACGACGTCTAGGCTGCTTGTTGGTGATTCCAGTCACTGGTCTACTAGTCTCTTTTGTTCAAATCTCAAGCGAATGATTTGGAAACTAATGCATGTGAATTATCCAAACAATGGACAAAAGAAAGAGACAGACTCGAAGGTCGTGGGGGGGGGGGGNCCCATATAAAAAGGACAGGGATGCTTATTGGAAATGTTAAAAAAACCCTCTCAGTAAGAGGTACCAGGATCCTGTTTTGTGAGTGTGGCTTGAAGTTTTTTTCACCCCTAAGAGGTACCAATTCTTAAACAACACATTATCTCCTGTAATATTTTTTCAGCTCAGTACCCTAAAAGGTACCGTGAAAGCTCCCTTTGTGAACCTTTTGAGGCTGAACACCCTAAGAGCTACCAACCGCTTTTTAACTCCTAAAAAGTAAGACGAGCACCCCCCGTCCTTTTTACATGGGAGTCATCCTCCCGGGGATCGATGGTCTTTACCTTATCACTTTTCTTGAAACCTTTCTTTGTCTCTTTTGGTTTAACACTGAAAAACAGGATTCAAAATAGTATTACAGACAACAACCATGTACAAATACATTGGGAGGTCTTCAGTGACCTTTCAAAATTATCAAAGCTGTATATTTAGTTTACTTTTTCATCAGCAGTTACGTGTCTGCCGAGCTCTAAGATTGCTCAAATAAAGGCATAGTATGTTCTCTAACCAAGAACAGTAAACATATCGGTTCTTCAACCTGTTTAAATCTATCCTAATGTTTTCCCGCGCTCAGCACTGGTTGCACGTTTCTGATTGGATAATTGAGACATTCTTGTTTGTTATATACCGGTTTTCAACCTATTGAAATCTATACCAATGTTTTCCCGCGCTCTGCACTGGTTGCACATTTTCGCTTCGAGTTCTGATTGGCTAATTGCTACATTCCTGTTTGTTGTAATTGGACATAGACTTAAGCTATAGTTTTGGCTTTGTGACAGTTGTCAGAAAACCGCTAACAATTTTTCAGTCGATAGGAGAGATTGTCCTCTTAGACAAACAGGTAGCTTGGTCCCCGTGACTTATGCGCGTGCTTAGTTTAGCGTCTGGTTTCACTTGAATCTTTGATTGGTGTATGACAGTTATTGAAACCTTAGTGTGGTAGGCTTTGTGGTTTTAGTTTTAAGACACCAGTTTCAAAGGTGTCTGTCATAAGAATTACTACGCAGCTTTCTTGTCTTACTTGAATGAAAATGCTTCTGGCCCCAGGAAAACACAATCTCCCACTTTGTACTGTATGCCACTTTTCGTGCAGGATCTGAGGAATAACGTGAACTTTGATTACCGAACAGATTAACACGAATGTGAACTTTGATTAACTGACGTAATAAGAACAATACAATAGGCCATTTCCAAATTACATCTAACCTCTTTCTCAAAGCGAGTCTTGGTGCCCATCCTTTCATATGAAAATGAGATTTCATTCACATGCACAAACCACAAAGAGTAAGAAGAGAAATAGGAAAATATGCCTACTTGTAATATGTCTTGGAGGATTTTGTATCTGTTTCCAATGGTTCTCCCACAGATGTTGTCTCCATCTGCAAAGTGAATGCAACAATTGTTTTTTGTCAAACTTTTGCTTTTGTTTAACCTTTCCTGCAGCCAAAAAAAACTCTGCTCTAAATACAGTTACATTTCACAAGCACTTTTAATGGCAGTTTGAACTAAAACCAAATTACTACATGGGGAAATCAACAGCTTAAATCATAGAAATAGTGGTTAATGTATCAGTATTTAAAGTTGTTAGTTGTTACCTGTCCCTGTGTTGTTTTGCGTACACAGCTCTCACAGTATTTAAAATTTTCTGTCTTGACCACAGTAGCTGTGTACTCTGAAGGAGGATCTGTAAATCTACCACGCTTATGATCATACCTAAAAACAAAAAGGCTCATCGTGTAACTCTTGGAGTGCATAGTTGTTTGAACTTGCATTGTTAGATATAAAACACACTGAAGTTACTACAAATGCGTACAGTCAAACCTCTAGCAAGCGGCCATCCTCGGGGAAATGGGAGGTGGCCACTTAATTGGTGTCAGTCAGGAATTAGCATTAGGCTTAGTAGAAAAATCAATTTATTCAAATATAAACATGCTTTAAGGCAACAGGGAATCATGTTAATACAACTCTAAACGTGTGTTAAAATGTTTTATCAGTAGTCAATTGCTATTTCAGACTCTTATCTATCATCGCCTTTTCACAAAGCAGATCTAAGTGTATTAAATTTTAGGTAGCAGCTTGATAATGGTCAGGACAATACAAAACCCTCATAAGAACGACCAAAGGGTGGCCGTGGCTGCTTAACAGAGGTGGCTAGTTAGGGGTGACCGGTTAGTAAGGGTTTTATTTACAGTATTTTACTGCCAACAAGTTCGAGACTTTGATAACTGGCTGCTTAAGAGGTGGCCGCTTAATACAGGTTCAACTCTGTCCACTCAGTTGTTATTAAGTTGATGCCACAGGAAACACAGAAATATGCATGTGTCTGTGACTGAGGGATCAAGTTGCTGGGTGGGAACTGCATGTCCTTTCTCCAACATTAAATCCTTTGAAAGAGTTGAAACATGACTGCTGGGAAATCAAAAACCAATTTCTACATAAATATTTCTTCCTCACCACTTTTGGTAAAAAAACGTGTTTCCATCTTCTTCCTCCATCATACTGTCAGTCTCTTGATCATCCAGTCCTCCCTTCATGAACCAATCAGAATCAGGCAACTTAGGTGTGACCTGTTCAATCCAACAAGATACAAATTCAGAAAAAATATAATGTTGTCCCCTCTCTCCTATCACCAACAGTTTAAAGAACTTTTAAGTCTTACAAGTTACTGGATGATGTATATGGCTTATGTGACAACAAAGTCATCATTAACTTTTATTTCCATATCCAATTGCTTTACAACATTCTATCAGGTTGCTCTAACAGTTTGCAGGGTCAAGTTACACTGCAGGGTGAAGATAGGCCCTATGAGAGTTAAGGCCCAAGAACATAACATCACAACCCTAAGAACTCAAATAAGATCTCTGATACAGTGCCTTAGCCATTACCCCACTTTTTACATGTATGTGTCTCTTCTTTTTCAATCTAATTTGGAATTGGCTCAAGAGGACTGCACACATGCTGTGAGGTACTTACCGTGCATTTCTGTAAAATGGAGCCAAGAGGATTGTCACCACATTCATCAACCAGGAACAACTCGGTTGGGTCGCTTGTTTCACCCAAAATAGTGTCTGAGCCTCGACTATAAAGCAAACAGGAGAGTTGGAAGAGAAACAATTTAATCAATCAATCAATCAATCAATCAATCAGTCAATATTAATCAATCAATCCATCAGTGAGACAGTCAGTCCACCAACCAACCAACCAACCAGCCAGCCAGTCTGTCCATCAGACTGTTCGTCTATCCATCTATCAGTGAGTCCATCAGTCAGTCACTGATAGCTTATTGTTAACAGTTATGATGCAGGTTTGTACCTCAACCATCTGCAGTGAAACATCTTGTCGCCACTTGGCCCTTCCCACATGTAACAAACACGGGAAATAAATAGAGGCACGTCAGGGTTGTCAGGACACACCTTCACAAAATCTCCAACATGTATCTGAAAACCACCAAATTTGCATAATTTGGTCAACACTGACAATCATTGTAATGAACAAAGCAGAAGAGAGACCAGCTGATTGCTAATTAAAGTATTAAATGCAGTACCTCGTCTTTGTTATTGAGAAGAACTGATGAGTAATACTTCTTCTTTCCACTGACTTTAACAGGATCTCCCAACCATTTAACCTTTGTCTAAAAAGGAACACACAATTAACTTTCTTGTCTTTAGAAACCCCTAACTGGAGGTTTCTGATGTGACACAGAAAACAACTTCTTACAACACTAACACTGTGAAGGATCTAAGGGAGAGTAGGAAAGGATCTCAATGGCCCTCAATGGCCAACAACTCACTTCCTCTGTCACTATACATGTAAAAACTGTTTATTGCTGGTTTTACATGACCGATCTCTTGGACATTATCTGTTCCTCAAAGGTCAGAGTTTTCCTTGAGCTACACTCTTGGAAAACTGTTTGCTTCTCGGAACAGATAATGTCCGTGGACAAACATCCAAGGCTATTTTCATGCCAAATGGAGACTATTGTTTATATATATTCTAAACACAAACCATTCACTGTGTGATTAGCACTACTCGTCTCCTCACCTTAATCACTTTCTGTGACTTTGCTGTTATGTGTGTTGCCATGTTTTTCTTTTCTTTCTCTTTGTTAGGACTCTGCCAAAATAAAGAAACAAAGAATTACTTGTAAAACCTCTGAACTGAGAGTGCAAAGAATCTTTGGATCATGTATACTAAAGGCATCTGCAGTTGACTGTCAATCAATACTCTCAATTGATACCCTCAATCGCAATTGATACCCTCAATTGACATCTCAATCTCTACTTCATCAACATCCCGATTGATACTTGGTTGACACTCGATTGATACTTGATCAGAAAATTGTTGACTGTCGACCGAGTGTCGACCAAGATGTTGGTGGAGCGTTGATCAAGTGTCAACTGAGGTGTTGATCAAGTGACGATTGAGTATCAATCAAGTGTCAATCAAGGGCATCAATCGACACTCAACCACGGATGCCTTTAAAACACAGGATCAAAATCTTCTATGCTGTATCACTCTTTGCTTATAATATTTCATACCAAATTTTCGATTTCTGCATTTTCCTCAGTAACATCTTCATCCTCTTCTGCTTCTTTTACAGCCATGTAAGGACACCTTCATTAAAACAAAACAACAAAAATCACCTTCCTATGATGTGTGTCCACTTATGGGAGGTCGCCTACTTAGTAGATCTATTCCTGGACTGGGACAATTGTACTAGACACGGATCATGTGTACTAAAGGTATCCGCGGTTGAGTGTCAATCAATACCCTCGATCAATACCCTCGATTGACACTGCATTGACACCTCAGTTGACACTTGATCAACACTCCATGGGCATCTCACTCATCAGCTGGTTGAGAGTTGACTAATTTTCAATTGGTGCATATGAGTTGGTTGACACTCAGCCGATTATCAACTGACTGTTGATCGCATGTCAATCAAGTGTCAATCAAGGTGTTGATCAAGCATTGATTGAGCGTCAATGGAGTATCGATCAAAACGTTGATCACCTGTCGATCGAGGGTATCGATCGACACTCGACCATGGATTCCTTTAGTACACATGATTCAGTGGATCTATTCCTGGACTGGCTTAATTGTATTTGACACAAACCTTCTTTCTACACAGCACTGCTTCTTTCTCCCTGGTCCACCAAACTTGACCATATCTCTGCAGGATTTACACTTTCCACAGTCTGGCTGCTGGCACACCTCACACACACCACATCGCTTTCTGCGAGGGGCACTTGTTTCTTTTCCATCAATTTGATTCTCGAAGAAAATGTCAAATATGTGCCGAACAAGAGGGGTGGTGGTGGCCTGAAATAAATCAGATTCTAAATTTACATCTGGACAGCACGCAAAGCTAATACATGCTATCACAAATGCATGGATGATGAAACTCTTTAACAGAGTCACTGGGTCATAATTTCAAGTGTTCCAATTACCTTTGATGGAGAAGCAACCTTCTTTTTCTTGTCCAGTCTGACTTTGACTCCCCTTGCAGCACGCCTTCATGAAAATGAAAAATTAAACAACTTATAAAAACTTTGTTGAAAGGACTTGATATCTGTGAGGAGTGCTCATAGCTGGGAGCTTGTTGAGCCTGTAGAAAGCACATTTGCCAGTACTGCAGTACGTGTAATCCAGTTTAAGAGGTTGCTTTTAATTAACAACCTATTTTTTCCTGGTTCTGGATACATTAATATCCAAATTGCTGGCTGCAATATGTTCATGCCTGTTTTGTGGGCGTGGCTTAAAATTTTTTCACCACTATGAGGTACCAATTCTAAACCAACGCATTAACTGACACTTTTGTTATTGTAATTATAGCGATAGAGATAATTTTTTTGAATACCTTCTACTCATAAAGTTGATTGTCAAATATTTCCTGTCATATGGTATTCAGCTCTATACCTTAAAAGGTACTGCAAAAAGCTTCCGCTGTTTGACCCTTTGAGGCTGAACACCCCAAGAGGTACCAAAACTATATTTTTAGCCCCTAGCAGGTACAATGAGCACCCCCATCCTTTTTACATGGGAGTCCCCCTGGGGCTTAATGATACTGGCCAGCATGTAGACCAGGGATTGGTGGTCATTTCAGCTAACGCTCAACATGACTCAACTGAGGCTTGCTTTGCATGTTACCATACAAAGCATGGAACATGTCAAGACCAATGCAATCAACTGATGGTGCTGTCCACTCAGTTTAGTACACAAGAAAATTACAAGCAAACCTTTTGCCAAGCGTTACTCCAGCAAGTTTGATGAGATCTCTCATACATGGCGACACTAGCAGAGGAAGCTCATCATCATCAGCTGCTAGGTCATAGCTTTCCACCTGTAGACAAGTAAATAAAACAATATGTGACTGCCCTGTTGAAACATCCGTTGATCCATATTGTAAAGGTAAATGTAAAGTCTGCATATGAGCCAAGTGGCCCATCAGGCCAGAGCTTATCCTTGTTTCTTATGCATAAATTTGGGATCAATCAATGCCTGTATGAGCTCACCACCGCGGCTGCCTGCTCCTCCCTCTTCCCCTCTCTACCAAGGACAAAGGCTGCCACAAGAGCTAAAGCATTACTGACAGTTTATTTTATGAGCCCATTTTTGGAAATGGTTCCAGAGAAAAATAATTGTCACTTGATGGATGGGGTATTAAACAGAGTTGGCAGCATAAAGTGTGTTTAACACAAGGCAAAAAATATTTTTAACGCAGTTACATGAGAACTTTTACCTGTTCAACAAGAAACTGTGCATGTCGTAGCAGTGTATCTTCAGTAAAAGTGGAACAGTTTTCAGGGGGTACAGAAGTCTGACAATAAAGAATATCACAAAATAAGAACTTATGTTATATTTTCAGATTCATAGAAGTAAGAAGTGCATTGCACAGCTGTTTGCTGTCTTTTACATGACATTTTCACACAAAAATAACAAACATGTATATCTATGGTTCCGTGGAATCAGTAGTCACTTATATACAATACAGACCTAAATAGGTCTGCAATGCATACATGCATACTTACCACATTGTCCAAGAACGTTAGAGAAATAGCAGACCCAAAATTAAAGGATCCAAATTGACATTCAATACCAAAATGTCACAACAATTTATTAGTCTAACATTTAATTGCTCATTTAATTTTTAACATTATTGGAAATAATTACCTGGACTTTATTTAACAAATCCTCATATCTTGCCTCCGGGTTACCCTGCATGAACTCAATGACAATCTGAAGGACAGGAACAGTGCTGCAATTATTTTAAATTTTAACAAGATTTTTCTGAGACCAAGATTTATTTTGAGTAAATGGCAAATAAACAGTACCTTGCTCATTGCTGTCTTCTCTTTCATAAGGTTCATAAATGGCATATACTCTTCCGATGCCTGCATCAATATGTACTCCGCAAAAGCTGCCAGTAATAACAAACCATAAGGAAATGTTGATCCTTTTCACAAATTATCTCTACTCAACATATAATCATAATATATATAATTATATATATGCCTGCATTTAAATGCAATTTAACGAAGTTAACAACAAGTAGCCCAAGTCTTGGCTAGTCATGGTCAGCGGCATTTAGATCTGCATATACACCTGGATTCCACGTGTTTTTGGACCACAAGGCATTGTCGCAGTTTTTGCATTGAGTCAGCATTTTCCATGAGTGTTAGAGATTTAAGTGTAGGGACTCTTCTCAGAGGCTCTCTTTCCACTGTTTTTATCAGTGTGACGGGTACCTGTTTTTCTCCCTTCTACTTGGGGGGCTCATGGCTGGGTTGCCAGGATTTGGCAGCCATTGGAAGCAGTCACCTTCTAGGAGCTGGCTGCCAATAGTGGAAGCTCCTGGATGTTCCAGCTACCCAACCTCCCCTTTGCGAAGCAATTGTTAATCAGAATTTAAAGAAAAATATCACAGACTATAGTAGCTGCAAACCTGTCGTGAAACCAATGAGAGCATTCTCTCCTCCATCAAATCCTGCAATCCACCATTCATTGATTGGTCCTATGGACTTTGTTGGAACACCACCTGGAAATAAATGAAGGTGTGTCAGATATGGGTCTACTTGGGGTAAAAGGGCCTTAAATATAATTTTATTTTACAACAGGTGACTCAAGGTTAGTGAAAATGGTTCAGTTCTAGGTATTGGAGGAGCCAGAAGACCCATTGGTGCTTCGTATTTACATTGCAACTCCAGTTTCTTAAACAATGTTACTGGGAGTACTGCTTCTTATTCACAACCCCCTCAGGTGGCATGGAAGCCCATCACAGGTAGTCTCTAATCCCTCACCCAGAACTGTAGTCAGTTTTCCCTGCAAATTTCCTAGTACCTCTAGATTCTGAAAAGTTGCATAACAGTATAATTTCTAAGCTGTGAACAGAGCACAAAGACCCTGGTCTAGCTTGAGTCTAGACTTTTCAATCTGGAGCCAAACACACTATCTATTTATCACCATTTGAGATACCTTCAGGACTTGGATTTTCATCATAAATTGGTTTGAGGTATCCACTGAAGAACAGTTCAATATTTTTCTCTATCAAGCCTGTGTCGAATGGACAGAGGTGAGTGTTCTTGTCGTAGATGCTATAAATAAATGAAAGTACAATAAAGACAGTTAGATAAACTACACCAGTACCAAGAGAGATAACCATCTTTGTCCAAATCAAACAAAATGAAATGAAAACCAGGATTCAGAGAAATGAATTGAATAGGAAGTAAATGAGAATTACAGCTGATCACTTAATACATTAAACTACCATCACATTTTGTTCAGCCCCATAACTGCTCCCTAACTTTTGCTCTTATCAGTCCAATTTGATTTCCACCTCCAGTGTCACAGTAAAGGTACACTAGCTTAGTGTCTAACAGGATGGTGCTGTGTCCAGTACATACTATGTATATTATAACAAGCAAAATACCTGAAATTTGTGATTTTGTGTTGTGGCCTGTCATTATAACTATCAAACTGTTCCTCCTCCCCAGAGAAAAGTGATAACCGTGGATCAGTCAGAGCAACAAATTCTTCCACCTGGCAAACAAAACATAAACAATGCATATGTTATAAATTAAATAGTAACTTGTAAAAGAAAAGCTCCAGATAACATTTCAGATTTACTTGTCTCAAAGCAGTTCAAGAACAACTATAAGATGACTGTAAGTATGTATCAAACAGGCAGCTGACAGAATTTCTTCTGCGGTTTGCAACCAAACCATGGAGGGCAGTGGCTACAAGATACTTTCACAAAATCTTATCAAGAACATTTCAGTAGTGCTGAACTTACTGCATCATCACTGTCACCAAGGAAGAGTCTCAAGTCAGGACTGTCCAGCAGTTGTTTACACTCTTTACATTTGGCAGGTGGCTTGCAAGATAACATCAAATATAAGAAGCATTGATACAAGATGATAAACTATAATTTATGAATTCTGTCTTTGTGCCACCTGACTGCTGGAAATTGTGTTGAAACATATAAGGAGATGTTAATACTGGTAACTCCTTGGAGACAAATTTGACAGTCAGTAGATTAGATGGAAAATGTTTTGTGTTTTGTCACATTTGTTTAGGATGAGGTTAAATTTGTGCCAGTATGGTGACGTTACGGCAGAACACATTTCAATATGGAGGAAACATTTTTCATGAAAGGGACAGTAAATCCTCAACATCATATTATTCATAGATGATCACAGTACCTGTGTTTTTTTCATTGGAGATTTTGTTCCCTCAGAGGATTCTCTGAGATCATACCTGGTAAGAGAAATATATAATATTATTAAATAGCTTCCATATGGATCCTGGGTTTTGGTAAATAAATATCATTAACTTTAATGCAATAACTATCAATAACTATAATGCAGCTCGTGAATCAAGATAGGTTTGCAATGAATACATGTACAGGTGCCTACATTTTTTCCTACATGCAGTGTGTATAATAGTGCGATTTATGGGCTTGTCTGACTCACTGAAAGAAACATTGTGTTTGGGGTTGAGAGTTAATGGATCTTGGAATTTTGGATTCTAACACTGATTTTCAAATGAGACATCCATAGAGACTTTTAAACTACATCCAGAATTGCATGTTTCATATTTATATCAGATTCCATTATACTCTTCTTACACAATCTCTATAAATACATTTTAAAGTAACATTGATCATTGATCTATTAAACTTATGCACTAAAGGCAGCTGTATCTTACCGTGTGGTTTCTGTATCCACTGATTCCTTTTCTCTGTCATCAGTATCATCATCATCTGAAACCTTCTGACGTTTGCTATCCTGAAACAAAATTTTACAAATCTCAATATTAAAAGTGCTTCATACCTTCACTTGGAAGAACTATTCTTCATTTTTTTAGGTTTAATTCTTTTTAAAGTTTAAAGTCAAGCTTCAGTCAAAATATCAGGTTCACCTATTTGTCTCTGGCCTTTCTTGATTCTGATTCATGTTGATTTCTAGAGAATACTGTCATTTGAACCCCTGGTAGCTCGCCCTCTGAGCTCAGATTCAAGTACAGCAGAAAGAAAGGGTCAACACAAGTCGACAATTTGGAAATGATTTTTTTTCCAAAATGTAGAATTTTGACTTCCTTCTCACTTTTTTCCAATTTCTCTATAGTTCAACTCAATTTTGACCCACAAATTATTGGTGGGATTTTCAAAATTAGGGAAATTCAGCCACCAAAAGATGCCTAGACACAAATCTAGGGTCACATACTTTACTGGTGCCCAAGTCTTTTTCACCACTATGCAATGAGGACTCTCCACCACCCTTACTGGACTCTTCTTTCCCATCTTCTGGGTTCTTTCTTTTCACAGAGCTGTAAAGAAAAATTTTTCAAAATACCACTTTGGTGCATAAATTCACTATTCGCTATTAGTGTTTATAATTTGCTACTCAGATTTTCCAGAAACCCCTAAAGATAGCTTAACTCAAATTGCTGCAATAAGAGTCTCCAACAACTACATGTATACAAACTTTTGAGTCAACTTGAACATGTTCTGATGTCATGAAAGTTGCTAGCTGTCATTATTGAAATGATCAGGCAAAAATAGAATATGAAAGGTATTGAGGCAAGTAGCCCACATGCTTCAAAACAACTCCTCCTTTAGCCTGCGTAGATGATGCTCAAGCTAACAGGGTATGATCTAGGACAGTGTGCACAAGCAAGAAAACCTGCATGAAGAGGAGGAAGGGGGGAGGGGCTATTCCCATAAAAATAGTATGGGGATACTAGTCGTACCTTTTAGGAGTTGAAAAAGTGGTTTCGGTACCTCTCAGGGTGTTCAGTCTCAAAAGGTCCACAGTGGGAGCTTTTGCAGTACCTTTTAGGGTATTGAGCCAAAACTATATGACAAGAGATATTTGAAAATCAACTGACTTTTAATTTTGGCGCAGAATTGATACCTCTTAGGGGTGAAAAAAATTTCAACCCACACCCACAAAACAGGATCTTAGTACCTCTTAGGGGTTCTTTTCAAAATTTTCGACAAGTTACCCCATCATTTTTACATGGGAGTCCCCCCCCAGAGAGCTGCAAATCCAGTTTCCAGAGAGTGAACTGTTGAGGATCATTATTAATAGCTATTCCTGCTGTTTGACCTATTGCTTGAGTCTCAACCATTACTTACCCTTTGGAAAACATCTCCTTAATTCCAGGTTGTCTTTTACCATCTTTTCCTAATTTAGATTTATTCTGCAAAGACAACAGCCATTCTTAGTCAAACCACAGTGGCTGAGACAAGATTATTAATGAATGTAAAAGCTATGGCAGTAACAACAAAATATAAATAATAGTCAGGAACAATGGTGCTCTGTTTATAGCATTTTCACTACACAAGCTAGACATCTCCAAATACCTGATCTTTAGTGGCAGGAGATTCTTTCTTTATTTGCAAGGGAGATTCTGAAAGGTAAAACAAAATCAAGTTGCCAATGCTGTTTTTAAACTAACTGCACATAAAGCTAAACAAGAGAATTGAAAGATACATGTTTGCATGTACTTAACTGAAGAAAGGAACAGTAATAATCATTAATTATTGGCATTGATTTTATTCCATTGGTCAAGCTTTATTTCAAACTGCAACATGCAGTGGAATAATTATTATACTTGATATTGTTCAGGTAGATTAATAGTCATTGTTTTTCCTGACACTTTCTGGAGTTCTTTTTGGTGAGTTGTGTTCTTAAAGATATTTTCTGTAGCAAATACATTTTGAGTTTAAGATGAACATCTCTATTTTTGCAATGAGGAGACATTTTTTCTTCTTTTAGTAGGATGGAATTTGAAGGGGGGATACTGGATTGACAAAGTTGAAGTACTTCAGGAGTGTTACGGAATATTTAATGCTATCATTTAATAGTGGATGAACTCCACCCATTGCCAAATGGGCAAATAAATATTTTGTCCTCTCCCATGAAACATAATATACACACTGTACATGTATTAATATTATATAGATTTTGTTTTCCTTGGATCTTAGAGTACTCTTAGTTGTTTTTTGAAAAATAATCACCTCCTTCACTGGTTGAAGAAGATGCTGGGGTATCTCCTTTGTCATGGGCAGCAGGTGAATTACTGCATGATGGCCCAGCAGTAGAGTCAATACTTGGCTTATCATCTGGACTGTCAGTCTCCATGCTACTTCTTGATCCTGAGGGACCAACATCATAATCCTGCTCGTCACTTGTACTGCTGCTAGGTTCCATTTTAACATCCCCTTGTAATTCCATAGGCTCTTCATTCACGACAGATATTAAGCCATCCTGATTTTCTTGAGCAGAAGACGGAGATAAGGGAGTTGTGCCGCAACCATTGCTTACTTTGTGACCAACTTCAGAGAGAAGTTCTTTCAGCTGGCTAATTAACTGTTCCTGTGACAAAAAAGTATTTTCGCTACTGAACTACTTGGATGACACATATTTAAGCTTATATAATTTATGATCAAAAATCAGCCATTACATAAAAACTTACTTCAGTTGATTTGCCATCTTTGAAATCATCTTCCACCTTTTGAATTCTGTTATAAAGGAAACAATGCAACATAAAGTTTTAGGCCCATTTTCTAAGAGAACTTGGCATTTAAACACTTAACCATGGTTTTCAGGAAACACAAAAATGTCTGAATATACTTTTGAGTATTCAACTGGTTATACACAGGCAATCATTTCTAGTGGCCCCCTCCCTGATTCAATAAAAAGGGGAGACAAAAATAAATGGCTGTACTTATTCCATGAACTGTCTTTCACAACAAAATCAACAAACTTTTTTACAAAAATTACAACGCATAATAATTAACTCAAGTCCTCTCTGATCAAGAAGTCCATGTAAGTTTAAGTTTTGTTGTTAGTACAACTCACTTGTCTTGTACTGTCTTCACCAACAGTGATTTTACAAGCTTGCATTTTTTCCTTACATAGCCCTGCCAAAAAAGAATCAACACCATTTAACTGTTATTGAATTTTACAATATTCAGCCAGTGCAACTGTGTCGCATAAAACCATGGAAATGGAGTAGTATTGATCTCAGTGATGGCCTCCCAGAAGGGGCGGGTAGCATGTTCCCTTGATTCCTTCAAAATTTCCCATTTTTTCCCTTGTTCCCATTCTCTTCCCAACACCGGAAGTCTATTCTCGTCCCCAGAGGCTGTCCTCCTTTTGGTCAGCACCAAGAATCGCGAAGGTCCGACACCGGAAGTCTGTGATTCACGGACTTCCTGTCACTCCGCGCATGCTCAGAGTCAAGTCTGACAAATCTGATTGGCTGAGAGTACGAAACAAATTCTTTGCACATGCTCAGAAAATTGGACCCTGCCAGAGGTCGCAATTCTTGGTGCTGACCAAAAGGAGTGCAGCCTCTGGGGATGAGAATGTGGAAGTCTGCAATTCACTGACTTTTTGTCATTCTGCGCATGCTCAGAGTCAAGTCTGACAAATCTAACTGGCTGAGAATACAAAATGAATTCTCTGCACATGCTCAGAAAATTGGACCTTCTCGGAGGTTGCGATTCTTGGTGCTGACCAAAAGGAGCATGGCCTCTGGGGATGAGAATGCCTTGTTCCCTATTAATAAATTCCATTGTTCCCTAAAGTGTTTTGTCAGGGTTCCCTTTAATGGTAGAAATATCCCTTGTTCCCTCGAATTAATCCCAAAAATATCCCTTGTTCTTTTGAAATAAACGATAATGGTCCTTTGTCCAAAATCACTCGGAGGCCCTCCTTAATGGAACCTAATAGGCTTTATATAATAAGTACAAATATTAATAATTGTCTCCTTTGATATGTACATCAATAAACTACATGTACAACCATAAATTCAGTCCACACAATGATCCGCAAAATGTTGACACATTCCCAGTCACAAGTTGCTTCGATGAAACAATTTCATACCGGGACTTCGATATCTTCGACCTCAAGGCTTATTAGATCTTATTATAATTTATTCAGCTCAGTTCATCGTAGTTGGCGCAGTTGCAAGATAAAACCTAGCGCATGACTTACCTTCTCGGTGATATCGCCGTCCTTGTATTCCTCTTCAAGCTCTAACAATCTGCACACATAAAGGAGTAAGTTTGGTTAAAATCGATCCATGCACGGGTTACTTATCACAAGCATGATACCTGTGCATAATCTGAAGCAAAGCATATCCGCTCAGATTTAGGAAATATTCTGCCGATCTTACTTAGATGACCAAATCTCACCTCTCAGAGATATCCGGTGGAAATTCAACGTCAGTCAAATGCACCATTTTCTTTGTAGATGGACGAAATCGGAGAAAACAGCGACAATTTTCTCCCTTGAACTGAAAACGATCTACTCGACACGATCTCGTGGAATGTTGTCTTCGGCACTGATGTTGATTTCCCGCCAAAAATCACTTGCGCAGGCGTTTCGCACTAACTCGGTACCAGTCTGCTAAACAAACGCGGTGTGTTATGAGGTATGGTTTATGAAGTCAAAATGAATCCAAAAATTCACGGATTCACATAAACTGAGATCTTTCTGGAATGGGTTCACAGAGCCAGTCAGATTCCAGTCTACTAGCATCTCTTATTGTATCCTTTGTTTGATGATGAGTAGTATAATGGAGTCATTGTAAGGCGCATGAAGCAAGCTTACATGATCGGAGGAGAATCGTTCACCAGCGTTCACGCATCGACCGATCGGTTCCCTGATAGGCATTTTCTAGTTTGCTGCAGTTGAAGAGTAAAATCGTTTATTATTTACTGTTTCGGATGTTCGGATGTAAGGTTAGACTTTGCTTCTGCCTTCTGAGCTCTTTGCCTTCAGCAGCGCTCTAAGGTTACCATTGTTGCTCCCTAAATTGAGCTCATACTTGTAAGTTTAAACTTACTGCAAGATGATAACTTGGAGCTTGTGGTACATAAGCTTATGTTATGCCCAACATGTATTTTTCTTTCAATATCAAAACACTCAGGCAGGCAGTGGACTAGCGGACTAATGCTACTTTTGTAGAGTCAAGACTTTTGATACAACAGTGAATTCTCGTGACTAGTTTTGAATAAACTTTTCCTTAACTGGTCATTTGCTCAGAAATCATTTAGTGGCACCACGGATAGAAATGAAAAGCTAGGTACTGTTTTATGAAGTCAGTGTCAATGGGAAGGCTCTAATACCAGCTAGACATGTTTCTGAATCTGTTGCACATGCGTTGTCACTGTGTTGCCAGGGTTGGAAATAACAACCACATGGTTGCCGGTTGCCAAATATTACCAGTTGACATGACTGGCATGACAAAAGTTTGACTGGTCTAATCCTCAATCAGGCCGAACACTGTGCAATGACTGGTCATCATTTCCAGCCCTGATCATAGGCCTGCAATGCATACAGAGAGCTCACTTGTTTGTGTGCATGCTTTATACACCTGTGATGCATACTCTGAATTTAATGCCAAGTTGTTGTAGCACTGTTTCTTGTATTGACAAGTTCCTTTGCTTACAAGTTAACTCTCACAGTTTAGCTTGTCCATAGTGGAATACAACATAAACCTATACGAAATTTTATAAGGGATGGCGATAAATAGGTTTAAACACACTTGTAAAACCCTGTTGTATCAAAGGTAACAGGAAACATGAGTGCTCCTTGTTGTAAAAACAATTTTTGTGGTGGCAAGTTGACTTCATTGTGGGGAAGTTAACTTATCAGTAAAGCAACCAACTCATTCTGCTCTTGTCACATAAGTGAAGAAAACAAACAATAGTGAAAATATCTCCATCAAAACATCCATCATCCAAAATTTGATATTTCAGTCTTCTATATAAGCTTCAAAAATGATTTCATTGTGGCTACTACTGTATTTGTAAATAAGCTTGGTTAATCTGTCTTGTATAAATCAACCCATGTATATGTAATAAAAGGGGCTAAAAAAGTTTGGACTCAAGAGTTTATTGAACAGTCTGAATGACAGAGGATCATACTTTACAATAAACCAGAATGGAGAGTGGAGGGTGGGTAGCGCTTACATGTATGTCTCCTTTTTGGATCACTAAAACAATAACTGAAATAATAGCATCAACTGATTTAATATATAAATCTCCCCACTGGTTAATTAACTATTGTCAACTAGTTAAAGATTTCTTGATTTTTCAGCGTGGTTAACAAGACAGATCTAGAAACTGAAAATGCTTTTTGTATCTTTAGGGTATTTAACAAGCCTAACAACTCAAGTTCTTCCAAGTTTGTCCCTAGTTGAAGTGGAAGCAAAACTTTTCTCAAGAATACTACCAAAGGTGCTATGTCTATAGAAATTGTATATAAAATTTTGCTGCACTGTTATTTATTTCCAAGTGCTATCAGTAAATAAATGTCATTCACTGGCCATTCCAGTGATTTAACCTGACATGATCTAAATGCAAGTACATGTGCCTTGATTACATAACTGTTACATCACTTTTCAGGTATATGATGCTGTATCAGAAGCCACTTCCAGTATCGGAGAGATTATAAAGTCACTGTGTACTAGTAACAAAGAGAGACACCATGATAGTTTGTCAACCATCCAGTCACTTCTGCAGGTTTGTACATACATTGTATGCAATGGTAAAAATAAAAGTTTACTTAAAAAGGAAACTGTAAGTATACAATACATAAATTATTATGCTGATGTTCACTTGTTCAAGATTATTTCCCCTGTTTACTCATTTATAACAGCAGCAGTATTGGATGTATTAATTACCGGCATATTAAACACATCATACTCCATATACATGTATGACATCGTTATCCACAACTGAACTGCTTCTGGTATATCAAGGCTTCATACATAAAGCTTCCTAGCTGATTTAGTTGGTAGAATAACACACCGGTCATTTGCAAGGTCATGGTTTCACATGATGTATATCCTGTTGTAGTCTTGCCTTTTTTCCAGGCAGGAAAAATGTGCTTAAATTGTTTTCATATACATGTATGTATGCATTATATAATATTATTAATGCTGTTGTATTAATTTTATTTGATTTCAATGATATGATTTGATTTTGCATGCTACAGGGAGTCATGTCGTTTATGGAGTGTCTAGAGAGGTGTGTGGGGCACATGACTCAACTGTTGCTCACAGATGAACTTTCTATTAGTCATATGCACTCTTTGCCATCTGCGGTTATTCAGACTGTCAAGGAAGCGTTCAAACACTGCAAGGTACATCTAAATTGTCATTGAAATGCTAGAGTTACAAAATAATATTATGGTGTTCAGTAATTAAGAGTAGAGTGTGTCTATATTGTGCGATTCTTAATCGTTTATCAGGCAGGTACCCAAAGGAGCTAGGTCATGGTATTTGAGATAATTCTGTAGGTCAGGCCAATGTTTTTCAAGTTTACCAGAATGCAATCCATTTTAATCTTATCCAGTTTTGTCCACCCATGCCTCTTTTTGACTTTTCTGTGTTTCTTTTCGGTTCTTCTACAGTTTTATGCCATTTTAAATTGTGGTATTTTTTATCTTTGCAGGACAGTGAGCAGGTGTATGGTGACTTCTTCCATCTTGTGTCTCAGGACCTGGCCATGTTGTTCAAGAGGACATACCAGTTACAAAAGGTAAGCAGAGTTTGTATTGACAGTAAGTTGGCACAGACATCTGAACCAACTGAACTGCCAAGATTCTTATCTAGAATAATATTATTATGCAAGGCAAGACTTTTACACGAGAAACTTTTATTTGAGGTTTCTCAGGAGATCAAAGTCAACTCACTCAATGTATACTTGCAATTGAAAGTTCATTATCCCTTGTTCTTAACTGAATGTTCCACATCGTGAAATTTCAAGGTGTATTGCAACTCCATCAGGTTACATGTAATCCATGATTTGAAGTTGCTCTAACAGTTTGCTGACAATGTAATCACCTGGGTGGAGAGAAGCACTCAGTGATCATCGCAGCATATGGACACTGACCTTACATTATTAACCTAAATATCTCATTACATGTACAATGTACTTCTGCAGTAACATAATTAAATCTGATGTCAACTTGTTGTATTTTTATGAGGCACTGATGGAATTGCTTGACAAGGTCCAATTCAGTTATGATACATCTGATCAGGATGTCAACGACATCACAGATGGTGAGTGGCAGCATAAAACTTGAGATTTAATATTCTTGAGGTAAAATGAGCTGTGATTTTTTAAGAATGATATTAAATAAAAGTATTAGACATTTAGCATTCCCAGAACCAAACTGAAATTTAGCTCAATTTGATGTTTGTAGAAAGTTACAAATGTGCCAGTATATGAACATCGCCATTCCATAATAATATTATAATATTTTTAAAACAATTTTAATTTCATGCTCGTCCACGTTGTTTAAATTGTTAACATTGTCCGAAGAGAAGCTGCAGAGTTTCAGCAATTGACATTAACTCTGTTAATGGTCATAAAGGTTCTAATTTTGTACCATATACCCTTTTAGCATCTAATGCCTTCATTATTACAAGTGTTAATTTAAGCATATGGTGCCTCTCTTTTCATTTTAAAGTTTGTCACCAGTTCCTGGAAGTGTGCATTCTCATTGGTGATTTAGACACAAGTATACTGGTAAACACATGGAAGGTGCTAAAGAGGTAAGTGATCAGATGAATGTTTCTTAGACTGTTTAACTGTTAAACTAGGATGCTGGAAATCTGAGACTTGGTGGCTTCTTGTTTAGTGTTTGTTTGTATTAACAGGAATTGTGATTTCATTTGTTTCAGTAATAAATTTATTCTTAATAATGGTTGCAGTTCATTATTACCGGTATCAATACTACAACAGTACTTTTTATAAAAAATAGTCTGTTTGTTTAAGACAAACTGCCATTAGTGTTTTCATTCGAAACCCTTAGTGAACAATATTTAATTTAGAATTTATATAACTGAGTCAATCCTTTCCACCTTACTTAACATAATACACCACAGTTTGTGAAACACTAAGTCATAGTGTTATTACATTTATCATATGACTGAGAAAATTACTTCATTGTGATTGGCTGACAGCAGGCCAATTTATCGTTAATTCTTAATTTGCACTGCAGTGGAAATTAAGGCGCCAGGTTCGCAATTTTCGCAGTCATAACTGTAAATGAATAGTTGTATGAGAGCTTGAACAATTAAAGGCTCATGTATTTTTTAAGAGAGTTTTCAAACATCACTCGTAGTGTAGATCCTTAATAATATTGTACTCGTATTCATACAATTACGTATACTTCAATTTTTTGTTTAACAGACTAGTGACCAAGCACAAAGATCACATCAAGAATTATTTGGAGGTAAGCCTGTGGTGTTTTTATTGTATTAAATTTAGAAGTTACTTCTTTACTTTGGATTAAACCAGGCACCATGTGATACAGTGTATTTCAGTGAAAAACCTCCTTCTGGTGGTATCACTGACTTGAAATAACAATTTACACAGTTCAAATAGTCAGTTATTGGGTTCTCTTTTATCCCTCTTATCACTTGTCTCAAGCACAATTAAAATATGTCTTTGAGATCACTCAATCAGTAATGATTATTACAAGAAGTGCAAAAAGTACATGCTCATATATTCTGAGATAACATGTCAGGCAAGTGAAACAAAGTGAAAATCCATGTCTTATGATGCTGGCCTGACTTGATATAGTTCTGAGTTCTTGAAGTCATTCTTCCTCTGAAAGTTACATGTTTGCACTTGCAGCATCAAATTTTGCAATCATTTTACAGGTGGAGAGGTTGATTTGCCATCTGTGTGCTTCAATTGAGTCCAAGCTAATGCAATGTATCCAATTTGCTCCATACAAAGGGGAGGAAAGCTCTGATGCTCAGAAGGTTGGTGAGACAGCAGTGCAGAAAAAATGACTACCATAATGGTGTTGTTCCAGAAAACATCAATATCCCTCCTAAGGATGGCTTTTTGGTTTCAAACCCAACAACCCAATCTTGCTGGAAATTCTAGTTTTGGTTCAGGCTTTCCTTTAAAAGTTTTGGCCTTTGAGACACCCTCTCCCTTGAAGTTTTCATAACCTACCTCTTTGGGGTTTGTTTCTTTTTGAACCACACATTATTACCTGGCACCCATAGGCATGTAATGCGTGCAAAAAGAAGTTTATTTTTACAGTGCTACTGCAGTTGGACATTTCATTCCTAATGACTCTATAGTAATGAAGTGCAANGGGGGGCTCGTGGCTTGGTTGCGGGTTGGGCAGGCCAGTCGGGTGTTCTAGTGCATTGGGGATGTGACTGTGGTTGCAGCCCCCAGGCTTTGTAGGCACCTTCCCTCTACTAGTGACTTGGGCATTAACCTGTGATTGATGTAATCGTTGTCAGGTTTCTGGTTCCACTGGTGATGAAGTAGCTCTTGGGAAGATTCTCAAAGTTATACGCTTTCTGGTTGGTCACCTTGCTCATCTTGTTAAGGTATGAAGTTTACGTGCTTCAAATACATAAGTTTAAAAACTCCCTTACAGTGTACATGTTTACTGTAGCAATTGCACCCCCCACCCCCAGCACTTTGTAAACATCCTTTTTTGGTTTTTTGTTTCTTTTAATTTGTTTTCTGGTTGGGACCCCCATTTAGTTATTATTTTGCTTTAAGCTTGGTGCACTGATTATATATATATGTTAGAAGTTGATCTTGCTTCCATTCAGCTGGTAATTAACAGGGTTGTCAAGAGTATTACTAATAATATTAGCTACAGCGGGAAATAACCATCTACTTGATGATCTTTGGTCAGCTACTCTGCTGGGGTACATGTAGTATTCTGCTTAGCTCATCAATAAAGCTGCCTACTTCAGACCTTTGCAGCAACCCTCAAATTATTCTCACTATTTCCTGTAAACCCAAGTGATACCTCTGTTTGCTGTTTGGATGATATTTTACTCCCACTAAAATTTCTCCACTTATCCTGCCTCCTTTTGGTTCAATTCACATGTGTTGGGGTTGAAAAGCACAGTACAGAGCAGATTAGTTTTATACTACTTGAACCTCTTCCCATTTACTCTGTATCTTCTATTATTTTTACAGGAATATGATGGTTATTATGACAAGTGCTTAGAAACTGTNAATATTAAAGAATGATCTTGGCTTTTTGCTTTTAGGAGGAATGTCGTCATTCTGTCATGGAAGCTGTATTTCAGTCCTTTAAACTTTGTAAGTTTCAGTATTTATTACAGTTATGTTTCTACATGAGGAAGTTGACATCATCCACCCAAGTACAGCAGGGCACTTAATGCAATCTGAAGTACATGTGTAAGAAAGCATTTACCTATCACTCAGTATCATGGCACAGCTGTGTTATTAAGGTGTTGTGCCATCATTCACACAGTAGCCTTTTATGGTCAATTTATTGTTAGCTATATTATGCTGAAACCTAGAATGGCAGAACACCATACAGCTGTCTAGAACACCTCAGAAAGAGCTACCCACTAAGTACTCCTAACCCTAAACTAACCTCTGATTAGGGCATTCTTGCTTGTTCTGTATTCCAGCATTTCAGGACCAGTTTGCGTAGGACAGTCATGTAACTTCCAAGTACATATATAAGAACAAATTACTGATTGAAACTTACACTGTTGATGTTTTTTGCTTGTAGGTGTTCTAGAAATTTGTCTGCCTGTATTTGTTGATGGAGTCATGAGCAAAGGAAAACCTCTGAGGTGTGGTAATGTTTTCCTTATCAAAAGTCAAATGTTGGTTTAATGATACCCTTGTGGCTGTTTTCCAAACAAGAGAATCCAAACACTGCACAAGAAGAAAGTGTTGGAAATGTGGTGAAACACTGTCTTGAGTGTTTGATATGTCTGCTCAATGGAAACTAAAACTATGGAGAAAACAAAGAAAAATAAGTATAAAAGTCTGTACTAAGATCAAATATGCAAACTCTGCCATGATTAAGGTTTCCTTTGCTTAAACTTGACGAATTATTAATGAATTGGAGAAACCTGTGTTTACGAATAGTAACCTGCACATGAGTAAATTTGAATAGGATAAAGCAACATCCTTTACGTTTTCTTTGCTGACAGGGAAGTAACTTTCTATGAGCATGTCTGTACCAGAATGTGTTCACTTGTAGCCTCTACACCAGCAACATGTTTCCCTGTTGTGGTGAGTACCATTGATTAGGACTGTGATTAGATGAAGGAAGAAGTTGGAGGGGCAGGGGGGGTGGTGGGCGGTGAGGTTGGGAATTTGTGTGTGTGTCAAGGGGTAAGACATGTAGTTTTTGTCTCAGTTGGAGGTAATAAGACTTTCACTGATGTTACACCCAGGTTTGATGGGTTTCATTAAGGGCCAGACCCCTGGCAAATTGACTGGCTGTGAGGATGATTTTGCCCACCTGGTTTGACTGTCTATAGGAAAGTTTTTGTTTTTCTTGAAAAGATGTTCAGTTGGAAAAAGTTTTGCCCGCTTGTGAAAACCAGCTGCCCTCCTGCTGGTTGAATGAGCCTACTACATGTAGCTGCTGTTGTGTGGATATCGTCTGTAAATTTGCTCTTCTTTCAGGAAAGGTGTCTACTGGAGCATGTCCTTCAAGATGATCTACTGTGTGCATTGCTTGCTAGTGATGTTTGGTGCTTCATGGCCAGGTAATAAGTGGATGTGTTTAGTGTGTTATATCAATCCTGCTGGGGCTACTTTCTATAACACACTGCGTGAATATTGCTTCTTGTCTTACTCTGCGCAAGGGTAACGCTCAGGCATTCAGTCACTGATCATTTGACTATTTGAAGACGTAAGTCACTGTAGTCACAATTATAGTCATATATGTGATCTCAGGAGGCGCATTTAACATAATTAGAACTCTGCTGTCTCGATCACCAGGTGGGGCTCTGCTGAACTGTGTGCTGGACACGTGTCAGTTCTTACTCAACTGGTAAGGCTTAAAATGTCTGGATTAACATCATGCCATTAAAAAAATTGAAAGGAAAACAAGCACGAGGAGTTCCCTGTTGCATGTGGTCAAGGGTAAAAGGCTCACCCAATTCCTAGTCTTAGTCAAATTCACATTACTTGTCCAATCTAAGAGTATTGTTTCACGTGCATCTGTTTTAATTTGACACACCCATCACCTGATTTTAGCTCAGCTGAAATTTGCAAAGTAAGTCTGTGCCTTGAATTGTGTGAAATCATTCCCTTCATGAAGCAACGTTAACGTGTCGTCATGCTAAAACCTCAGACCTCCAGTAGTTCAGCTCAATAGGGAAGATGATTGTCAACAGGGAAAGCAGTGAGACACTCTTGCCTTTTATACCTCACTCTTTTAAACCTCACCATGAACACTTCATCGGACAAACGTCTTTCAACATTAACGCCAGGTTTATTTTACAGCTGTTAAAGTTACCTACAGCGGAAGCTGCTTATCTCCACTTGTCAATGCTCATTCAGCGTCTGGCTCGTCTTATGGCTGTTGAACATCAAGTATGTACAGTGTAATAATAAAGCGTTCGTAAATCGCACCACATGATGCTGAATACGTACTTATGCCTAGCTATAGTGCTATAAATAAACGTAATTTGGTAATTTTAGTGAACTGCAGTTTGCTCAACTGTTTCTCTGAATTCACATTAGATATACATTTGTAGACTAGACGTGGATGTGATACAAATTACATTTAATTTTCGCGGTTGGTTGATGGTTAGTTCTTAAACAGTTTCTCACTTTCCTTTCTGTCATGAGCAGGATATTTAAGTTTTGTATTCGTCGCATTTCCGTTATGCTTAAAAAACATTTCAATTTTCTAGGAAACTCTTGTTACCTCTTTTCCACCATCAAAGGAAGAAAACGTCTCCGCATGGTGCGTTTTTCCTTTACAAGACATGCCTGAGAGCGTCAAGAAAAAGGTAAAAAAAAAAACAACAACAACAACAGAAATGCCCAGGGGAGACTCCCATTTGGAGAGCTCCTGCATCGCAGATTTTGGTCTTATGCACTGGAAGAAATAATGTTAAAAGACGCTGCCTGGCCGTTTTGAAAGTGGTATCTTTTATTAAGAGTCAAATAAAGCCACGGTCAGATTTGTGTCTTTTAGGGGTTTTATTCCAATTTTCCGACGAACAGCGCAGACCTTTTCATGTGGGATTTCCCCCGGACAGAAATTGAGAGAGAGAGAGAGCACAGCAAAGACAGAATACGAGTGGGGTTGGGTGAGAAATCAAAACATCGGAATAGTAAAGCAAAAGTATTCTAATTGATGTCAAGAGCCTCGTCTATCCACAGATTGACATAGCAAAGGCTAGCTGAAGTGGAGTTAGCTTTAGCAGATTAAGTTACATTCCACTGGAAGGTTATAACTGTGAAAAATTGTTCACGACATTTCCTTGACTTTTAGGCTAGCCGTGCTCTTGTTCCTCTGTGCGTTAAAGCTTGTCACTCGGCAGGGACTACGACGAGTAAACCACCTAAAGACGACGACGTCCAGGTATGAAACACTGTAGTTTTAACACAAGTGTGAATGATTTGTGTATTGAGTGAGTTGAGATGTGGACTGGGGGGGAGAGGCGTCTCTTTCTCTCAGTCTGCCGCCTATCCCCTAGAACACACACGATTTCAGTCTGCAGCATTTAGATCAGTAAAAAAAAACCTTTCATATTTTTTCGGTTTGTCTTGACGTTTCTCAGAACTTTCATCAATCAGTCGATCTACCTGTAGCAGCTTCTTCGATCTTAGAATTTGTGATGAGGTTAGAATACATGTAGGGGTTCCTGTTATAAGAAATGATGCTGGTCAGGCCGGTCATTAGAGGAGTGTTTTATTCGACACAAAGCGCTGAGTGAGTATCAATAATAGTAAGTCATTTTTTTTTCCAGAATTTTTCAGTACAGAATGTTTGCTTTATTCATGCAATCTACCTAACCTCGCCTTATTCATTCTTATTCCCATCCAAGTTTGCTCCGCATATCTTCTGATCTCATCTCGTTACCTTATTTTGGTCGTCGTTGTAGTTTAAATCAAGTCGTTACTGTGTAGTCTTCTCTACTGATCGTGTCTATTGTATTTGATTGCTTCCTAAGTCCCGCTGCTTGTGTTGCCTCCGCCGTGTGTACAGCCTTCCTCAGGCAGTAAGTTATGTCCCTCCTGTTCACCACTCGGCCGTGATGGGGCTCATCAACAACTTGTGGTCTCGCTGCAGCCAAGGGAAAGAGCATGTAAAAGTAAGTTTACTCTTACAAAACAGCGTTGGACCCAAAATCACAGATAGCGTTAGCTCTTTTGAGTTTTCGGTACATGTTTTCACCGGTGACCGTTGATACGTCACTGCTTGTCTACTCAGTCAGCCTAATTGACTAAAAACAACTTTGTCTCCAAAGTAGCAGCAAGCCTCGAAGAAGTTTGTTGGAATGTTTGCAGAAATTTCAACTTACGATCAAGATGTGTCAGCTGCTTCTTCTTTCGTTGCAAAGTGCACTCGTATACCAAGTTTTTTAGTTTGCTGACTACATATAAATGTCTTGAAACTTAATGCCCGTAAAGGTACAAGAGTGGAGAGTACCTGATTAAAAGTTGCCGATATTTGAATTTAGAGGTGCGACTTGTTTTTTCTTTTTCAGCGACTTGGTATCAAGACCTGGTGTGAGTTAATGGACTTATCGTCTGCTCTGCTTCCTCAGATCCAACCCGAAGACTACGCAAAGGTACAACATACTTTTATAAAGTACGCCGTTGTCGACAATAATTGTGTTTGCAGAGCTCTCTAGTCCATTTAATTTGTGATAAAAGATAACAACAGCCCTTTTCACGGTTTATTTTTTTACAGTAAAATTCAACGTGGATGCGATGCAAATTCTTTCAGAAACTACAACGTTGCTGGAAATTTCCCTACATACGTTCGATCATATTGTAATGGAAAATAGAAATATTATAGGAGCTNGTGTACAGCCTTCCTCAGGCAGTAGGTTATGTCCCTCCTGTTCACCACTCGGCCGTGATGGGGCTCATCAACAACTTGTGGTCTCGCTGCAGCCAAGGGAAAGAGCATGTAAAAGTAAGTGTACTCTTACAAAACAGCGTTGGACCCAAAATCACAGATAGCGTTAGCTCTTTTGAGTTTTTAGAACGTGTTTTCACCGGTGACCGTTGATACGTCACTGCTTGTCTAGTCAGTCAACCTAATTGACTAAAAACAACTTTGTCTCCAACGTAGCGGCAAGCCTCGAAGACGTTTGTTGAAATGTTCGCGGAAATTTCAGCTTACGATCAAGATGTGTCAGCTGCTTCTTCTTTCCTTGCAAAGTGCACTCGTACACCAAGTTTTTTTAGTTTGCTGACTACATACAAATGTCTTGAAACTAAATGCCCGTAAAGGTACAAGAGTGGAAAGTACCTGATTAAAAGTTGCCGATATTTGAATTTAGAGGTGCGACTTGTTTTTTCTTTTTCAGCGACTTGGTATCAAGACCTGGTGTGAGTTAATGGACTTATCGTCTGCTCTGCTTCCTCAGATCCAACCCGAAGACTACGCAAAGGTACAACATACTTTTATAAAGTACGCCGTTGTCGACAATAATTGTGTTTGCAGAGCTCTCTAGTCCATTTAATTTGTGATAAAAGATAACAACAGCCCTTTTCACGGTTTATTTTTTTACAGTAAAATTCAACGTGGATGCGATGCAAATTCTTTCAGAAACTACAACGTTGCTGGAAATTTCCCTACATACGTTCGATCATATTGTAATGGAAAATAGAAATATTATAGGAGCTATATCAAAGATGACTCATCTTGAAAAAAAAAAA